AAACCCTAGCCTCCCGAGCCCTCTTTCTCCTTTGCCTCCCCTTCCCCGCCGCCACCTGAGGGCGCCGCCAGCCGCCGTGCGGCCGCCGTGAAGGTGGTGGCGAGGCCCTGCTGCCCTGCATCCGCGCAGGGAGCTCTGGTTGCCGGGGCGGCGGCCCTGGATCTGGTGGGTGGCGCCGCTCTCTCCTGTGGAGGGCGCCGCGGGTGCTGGCCGTCCCTCTGGCCGTGCGGGCGGCGGTTGGACGGCGGAGGTGCCTCGTTGCCGCGGGCTGCTCCGGTGGCTCCGCCAAATCGGATCTCCGTCCCCTTCCGTCTGCTCTGCATCCCCTCACCGGTCTGGATTCATCGCGTCCGTGCTGCAAGATCTGGCACCTGAGGTGCGGTGGAGGAATCTTGGAACGGGGGAATCCCCTGGTCGATTCCGCATCGACCTTGACGACGGCGGTGCATCGGCTCCGAATCCCCTCCCGAGGGCGCGTTGAGTTTCCCTCCCTCCACCTCCCCCTCCCCTGTTTTCCCCAGGTGAAAATCTAGGCTTTGGTCGGCCGTCGACGGTGCTCCATCGTCGTGGTCCTCCTTGGAGGCGTCGGCTAGGGGTAGGGGTTGGGTTGGTTGCCTGCAGTTCTTGGTTGGTGGCGGCTGCGGTGCAGTGCTTGCTCGGGTTTCCGATGGTGGTGGAGATGAGGTGTTGTGCCCTGCTATCCTTCAGCGGTTGCTGCCCTGCCGCGCTCGTGCTCCGCTGGCCGATTTACGGCATCCCCGTGTTGTGGCACGGCTTGGATGTAGAGGAGATTGGTTCTCCTCTCTAGCATTTGCACGCCCGGGTTGTGGCACATCCAATGTTTTCCTCCCTGCAGGAACGATCCTCCTCTACACTGCTTGCTCGGTGCCCCGTGGATGTCTCTGTACTCGTTGTTCTGGTCTGCGATGTACCTCCGGCAGCTTGGTCTTGTTTGCTTTGTACCGGCAAGTTTGCACTTTGGTCTGTCGAAGTGGATCTCACTTGTAATCTTTCAGTTGTTCTCCAAGCTTTGCCTTGTAATAATCAGCACCATGTATCCTAGCCGGTTGATGGCTTCATTAATTTGAAGTCGGGCTTTATGCCTTTCATCTAAAAAAAGGTAATGTATTGTTTGTACTTCACATCAAGTTTTTTGCTTGGCTTGCTTTACAAAACTGGATTTGGACGGCGGATAGATTGGAGAAGCGTGGGTGGCAAAATTGTGGTCATTGCCCTCTTTGTGAGAGGGAGCAAGAAACAAGGGCTCACCCTTTCTCTTCAAGTGCCGCTTCACCAATAGGCTGTGGAGACTGGTCATCGACAAGCTGAGTCTGACCATATGGACCCTTCCAGTTGGCACCTTGAAGCCTCTGTTAAGGAATGGTGGGCGAACATGACCAGCTTGGGTATTCCCAATAGGAAGGCCATGGCCTCCCTCACAATACTTGTTTTATGACCGTCTGGAACGAGAGGAACGCACGCATCTTCCGTCACAAGAGCGCCCCGCCGCCGATCCTAGTCAACAACATTCTTACCAACGCTAGACTATGGGTGACGGCAGGAGCTAAAAAACTTGGGGACATTCTAGTACGTGAGTAGTTGCCATGTGGCGTGTTATTGTGGGTTGTAAACAATCAAACTCTATTCTCCTCTTAATTAAATGATGAGGCAAATCTTTTGCCTCCATTTTAAAAAAACATTGTACAAGTATACATGTACTTCACGTGACAGTGAACTTGTATCTCGTACGCTGTTCACATAGCACTTTTGCCCAGACAGCACACATGCACGCACTATGCAGTATGTGAGAAAAAAAGCAAAAATATAACAGAAGAAAAAAAAAGTCACGCTAGGTATCAGCCGCCTGATCCTTCACGTGGGATCAGCCGCCTCGGCAGCCATCGATTGCTTCACACCTCACCATCCCATCATTCCCTACCACCTCATCTCCCCCATCGGCTCCCCTCTACCTTGCATCACTAGCACGCTATGTAGCACCAAGAAGCATGCCCCAACGGCACCCTCTCACCTTGCAGCACCTAGACGTCGTCTCACGGCACTGAGTGCCCGGCTCCTAGCACACAGCACCAGCGCATCGCGGCACCGAGTGGCTGTATGGCTCCTTGAAGCAACGCTCGACGGTGCAGGCAGACCTTGCAACACCTACGCATGCTTGCAAAGCCAGTGTCCCCCCAGGCTACAACACCGGTGTTCGCCCTTGCAGAAACGACATCAACATTGTTGTCGATCATCGCTGGTTTGTAGCAGTTGGCGTAGAAAGCGGACATTGCTAGGACAATGTGGGCGACGATGGAACTAGTGAGATTTTTCAGAGAAAGTAAGAGAGATGGCGCGAGGAAGATGACGAAGCGACACACACACACACACGCGCGCGCGTGCGTAGTATTTAATTATTATGAAAATGCTCCGCTATCTATAAAAATGTATTCTTGTGTCCAAACAAAATAAGGATGCAACTTATTATGACATTTTCATTAGTAAAATATGGACTCAATGTTGCTTTGTCAAGATGATTGGACGCCTCCTAAAGGAGAAAGCAATCAGGGACAAAAAGCAACAAGGATGGAGCTATCCCTTGATCTGATATATTGAAAGATAAACCAAACAAGAGCAAAAATAAGAAGGATGACACTAAAGGAAAGGCGCATGTCCGTATGTAGTTACATGATGGATGGTTCTTAGCATAAAAACATGCATTTGGTCGTGTATGTTGTCTATGTCAATATATTTGTATTTTTCACATATTACCACTAGTCAATGGGGGTAGTTTGTGATGTCGAGGTTTGTATGTTGGCAGTCTTAGAAGTAGCTTGTTGAGTTCTTTTTAGCATCACAAACTTTATTCATCATATGATAGCTAGATCGTTTACATAATGGTGAAGAAGAAAGTCAGGGATGACAGTTTCCCATGCTTCAGACTTGCTAGAACTACTACAATGTTTTGCTAAATCATCCGCGACTGAATTGGCCTCTCTACTAAATCATCCGCGGTTTTAGAAGTACCTTGTTGAGTTGCCTTTGTGCTTGGGCCTAATAGTTTGATTTTTTTTTGAGGGGTAGCCTAATAGTTTGATAGTATTGCATGCATTGTTGGGTTGTTGCTTGTTCGCCTATTAGGACATGTTTGCAACGGTTGCCCAATTTTTCATTAGTTAATTGATCAATCGTCTTCTGTTTAATTAATGAAAGAGACAAATCTTTTACTTCTGTTAAAAAGACAATTGTCCAAGTATCTAATATAAAACTGCTCCAAAATGTATCTCACGCCTCGAAAATGTATCATCCTATTTGGGTTTGATTCCGGAGCAGATCATCGAAGAAGGTCATAAAATCTGACGCTGAGTGTTTATTTATATGTCACATGAATGTAATTTTTATTACGGGCTTGCTAAAAGTCAGTCGACTGAGATTTAACGAAGTCTTAGTCGACCTTGCAGCATTTTGTCTCATCGTTCACAACATTTTTTTTCTGCCGGTAGCAACATCCTTCTTGGTGGTTGTAGCATCTCGTCCCTCGTCAATTGTAGCACATCATCTCACGGGTCGCAACATCCTCCTTATACGGTTAGCATTTTTATCAGAACGGTTATAGCATATGTTGTCGTTGCTTGCAGTACCGTTGCAACATTTTTCATCGCCATTTGCAGCATCCAGCCATGCCGCTTGCAACACCACAACTAAGCTGACATCACTCGATTGAGACTTCGTTAAGTCTCAGTCGACTGAGTTCTAAACACACCCTTTTTATTACTTTTGATGTTCTTTTTGTACTGCTACGACAATTAATGAATAGATCAGAAGATTTTTCTGCAAAAAATAGGGTACTGAGTGCACATCAAAGGCGCGTAGGCCATGACTCCGAGTAATCCTGTTTGGTACCGAAAACCATGACATGGACAATGTAAACAATGAACTTGCATCCAATGAATGTCAAGAGAGTGAAACTCGCATACAATGAACAAAGAAGAATCTAATACTACTATACGATGCATCACAAGTCACATCACTCGCAACACGTACAAAAAAAAATCAATGTACAATTCATCGTCACAACTCACAAGCTGACACGAGAAGGAACAAAATGTACACTTTCTATACCCCAAAAATGAATGTACAATGTGTCTATTATTTTGGCTTGACCTCGAAGTAGGGCATGTAATCGGACGCCTCCCCGGCGCCGCCGTAGGACGACCGGGTGATCTCCACGTCGCTGTACGGGTGCGAGGGCGCGCCCCTGCCGGCGCCGTCGAACTCGGTGGCCGACGACCCGGCCGAGTTGGACCCCTCCCCGTCGGGCTCGTTGAGCAGCATGGCCTCCACCTCCTTGACGACGGTGCCCATGGTGGGCCGCGCCGCCGCGGACTCGTCCACGCACTGCATCGCCAGCTGCACGAACCGCCGGAACCCGGGCGTCCGCGCGGCGTCCCGGATCGCCGGGTCGACGATGGCGCGCAGGCCGTAGTAGTCGCGGTCGGCCGGGTCGATGGCCTGCCTCACCTCCCGCACAACGTACTTCCCCTTCTCGATCGGCTGCCTCCCGCTCACCAGCTCCAGCATCACCACCCCGAAGCTGTACACGTCGCTCTTCTCCGACAGCTGCTGCGTCATGTAGTACTCCGGGTCCAAATATCCCTGCCAAAAATGCACGCATGATTAATCGGCAGATCATATGGAGCAACTGATCGAGGTGAAAAATGTAGCAGTGGTTACGATCGTTACCAGTGTTCCTTTGACTTGGGTGGAGACGTGGCCCTTCTCGGTGTCGGCGACGAGCTTGGAGAGCCCGAAGTCGGCGACCTTGGCCTTGAGGTTCTCGTCGAGGAGGATGTTGGTGGACTTGATGTCGCGGTGGATGATCGGCGGGTCGGCGAGCTCGTGAAGGTACGCCAGCCCCCTCGCCGACCCGAGCGCGATCCTCAGCCTCTTCTTCCAGCCCAAGTACGTCCCTCTAACTGCAAACGTGCAGTTCCATCAATTTTGGGCACAAGTGAAATGGTAAACAACTAATGCAAATGTAGATGAGGGGTATTGTCAGTGGGGTGGTTTGGGACTCAGTAATTCAGATGTGCTTACCAACAAGGTTCTCCCTCAGTGTCCCACCGGCGACGAACTCGTAAACCAGCATCTGCTCCCCTTGCTGGAAGCAGAAGCCGATCAGGCTCACCAGGTTCCTGTGGTGAACCCGGGACAGCAGCTCGATCTCGTTCTTGAACTCCGGCGCGCCCTGCATCGACCCAGACTGCGCCCGCTTTATCGCCACCCGTATTCCGTCCACAAGTGTTCCCTTGTACACCTGTTCACACATTGCAGTGAGTAAGCCAGTGTGGTTGGCTAAATTGTGTTTCAACTTTCAACTGTTTGTGCAGGCCATATTTCAGGAATAAGATGGACAAATGAACTGATGCGGTTTTCAATTGTTACCTTTCCATAGCCTCCTGCGCCTATCTCATGGCTATCTGCAAAGTTGTCCGTGCAGCTTTTCAGCTCCTCGAAGGAGAAGAACCTCGCTCCTTTCAGCTGTGGAGCTCCTCCGCTGTCTTTCTGCGCCGCGCCCCACGAAGCTGGAATTTCAGAGAAATGATCAGATCAGTTTCAACCTTCATTGTCCATGTCATGGTTGCTCTTTGGATGTTCAGTTCATCGCAGATTGTTCAACAGTGATGCTACTGGTATAACAGAAACTGCAAGACCAGTTTGTATATTTATCCTTACCAAAAGGGTCGGTGCTTCGTTCTTTTAGTTCCTTGTTCCTTCTCTTCTGTCGCAAAGCGAACAGTCCCACCAAAATGAGGGCAATCACAAGAACCCCACCGGCCACTGCGATTCCAGCAACAGCAGCTGTACTGAACTTCGATTTCTTGCCACCAGCAACTGACACAGAATGTTTAAATAGTTAGTTTCACACCGCCATGCTGCTTCAAATCTTCAATTTTAAACAGGGGAAACTCAAGTACCTAAGAAGGGGACATATGGATCTGCAATGAAGAAGTAAGGCCCGAATATTGGCGGCGGCTTGTAGGTCTGGTTGCTGAGAAGAAACCCAATGCGGCTCACTTCAGACACGTTGAAGAGCGTCCCCGTCGACGGGAACAGACTCACTTGAACTTGGAGGTAGTTGTCCTCGTTGAAGTGGATACGGTTCAGGAGAACCGCACCTTCACGCAGACCCAGTAGCCTCCAGAGGGTTTCCTCCAGTTGCTGAAACCTAACGGTGTCCGACACATCCTTGAAGGACGGCGCTCTGAAGACCATCTTGCCATTGTACGAATAGGCGCAGCCGCAGTTTGCGGGGTTCTGGCCCTGACCACTTTGGCACCCACTTGCCGAGATACATTTGGCCATGCTAGTGCTGTATGCTATCACGTTCGGTTTCTGGACGGTGCAGAATGCTACAGTGGGTTTATCGGAGCAGACTGGATTCAGGGCAAGCCTGTACGCAGATTTTAAGAAAAAACAGAGGCATGTCAGTGAATGCATGGAGAAAAGAAGTAATGGCCAGCATTTTAGGATCTTACAGCAGTGTCTTTTTGTAGTTTGAAATGCCAGCGACATCAACTATGACGTTTCCTTGGAAATCCACGGTTTGCAGTTGTGTGCCGATGCTGCCTGGCATCGTAAGTACTCCGTTCAACTGGTTTTTGCTCATTACACTGTACCATCATCAATACGAACACTTGAACATGAGAATGACTTATTTCTCTTTTCTTATTGAAGTTACTATGAGTATAGTTTGCTAGAAAATTACACTTCATGCAGCTGGGGCAAATTGAAGAGTTCCTGGGGGACCTCGCCAGTGAGGCTCGCAGAAGACAACGATCTGAGTGATAACAAGAATATCACGATAAGTATGACATCATCGAAACAAATTGTTGCTTTAGAGAGTCAACCGTTTAAGATAACTCACATTGAAGAAATATTTGTTAGATTTGTGAACCAGGCTGGGATTGCTGACGCGGTAAAGCTGTTGTTGCTTAAATCCCTGGTTATTAAAGCATTGACTAGTCAGTATTTTCCGAGATTGTTTTATATCACTGGGCAATGCAGCATGGAAGCATTATAGTTAGGTTCTTACACAACATTTAACACGTTCATGCTGCTGAGATTTGGCACTGATCCAGTTAGCTTGTTGGTTGCCAAGTTCCTGCAGAAAGCATTTTCAGTAATAGGTTTCTCAAGTCTAAAAAATCTTATCTTGACTAGTCTTGGAAGACACTTACAGCTCATTTAGGTTGACCAAGTTGGTGATGTTAGGAACTGCTCCCGCAAATTGGTTCCTATCCAGTCGGCTGTCGAAGACGAGAAATGTGTCAAAGATTGTGATAAAAACAACTCTCGAGGAAAATGTGTGTTTCATTGTTCTGAAGCTACTTACAGTACTTGGAGCGAGGTAATGCTTCCAAGCTCACGCGGAATTGGGCCTGTGAACTGATTGCTATCAAACAATCTGAAAAAAATGAAAAGAAATATTAGCAGGATATATTTATCGATATAACATAAATTGGAAAGTTTGGCAATCCCTTACATGTGTATGAGGGTCATATTAGACTTGAAGAGGCCTGTAAGCGTTCCAGATAGCTGGTTCTTGTTGAAATGGCTGTCCACCAATCATAGTTCAGTTAGAAAGATGAAACAACCGGTTGCAAACCGATGATCTTCCTTAATAGATCAAGACGAAAAGAGTAGTATCAAACTTACAAGTGCTTCGTGTTGGTAAGAAGGTCAAGGCCCGGTGTCGTTCCTGTTGAGATAGGGACACTTCCTGTGATGGCATTATCTGCCAGGTCTAGCCAGAAGAGTTTTGAGAGTAGGCCAAGCTGAGGCGGTATTGTGCCCGTCAACTTGTTTGAATTCAGCGCCCTATATGTATAGATAACGTTTCACAGAACCAGTTAGTTTTTCTGTCAATCAAAAGAAATAAGACGAGGAGTTTGCGAATGCGAGAAGTTTCTTTTGAATCAAGCTAGCCACTTACAGGAATGTCATCTGCAGGAGGTTGCCTAGTTCTTTAGGAATGTCTCCGCTGAAGCTGCAACCAGCCAAGATTCTGACAAGTACATCGAAAGCGATTCAGTAAGTCTGTTTGGTCAACTGCTATTGCATCAGGAGCGGAAGGGTTGAGAACAATGAGCAATTAATGCATCGCTTACAGTGTCGTAAGCTTCCCAAGGTTCCCAATCGAAGCGGGGATCGTACCACTGAGACCGCTGTTGAACGAAAGGTCACTGCAATGCAAATGCTTGTGTTAGAGTGTCCACATATCAGCAGCAGGTCTTCAGAACTTCTACATCTAGTTTCATCTAGATTTTCTTCCATGCAATATTAAATGGAAGCATCTCTACTTTTCCTTCATTTTCAAATATATTACCTAATCCATGTTCACTGCCCAACTACCATTTTTTATAATACAAACTAACAATCAAAACTTAGACATGGTAAACTTGAATGGGTCAGCTCAGTTTTTTGTTTTCTTTCAGGACATGGTCAGACAATAAGAAAGCAGAGTTCATAATTGAGAAGCAAAACTGCTCTGACTGGTTCAACATATAGCCTGAGCAATGGCAGCTCGGAGGCAGCGAATCCATGGTGGGCGGGCGAGGCGACAACTTACAGGAACATGAGCTGGCCGAGCTGCCCGATGCTGTCGCTGAGCGTGCCCTGCATGTTGGCGCTGGATAGCCGCCTGCGAAAACAAACCAAAGGAAATTTGGTATGATGAGATGAGGCACACACTTGACTTGGCTGTAGAAGGAGCCGCGGGGGACGCGATGGATTCGATTGTACTCACAGCGATGTCACCCTCCCGTTGCCGCTGCACATGATCCCGTCCCACGGCGCGCCGCAGGGGTCGCCGGAATTCCAGCTCGACGGGTAGTTGGTCCACGCGCCCATCACCGACCGGAGCGCCGCGGCTGCCATGAGTAGACACAATCCATGCAGAACGAGGTGAGCAAAGCAGGGCGGAGAGATGCGTTAGATGAAATGGAACGGAGCTTTTTGGACGGCGGAGGGGAGTGGCTGACTGACCATCGTCCGGGTTGGTCTGGCAGAGCCCCGCCGGCACGGTGGCCGCCACGAGCAGCAGGAGCAGCCGCGCCCGCCGCGTCGCCGCGTCCATTCTCTATCCACGGGCCAGTCCACGACGGACGGAGCAGCAACAACGGTGGGCGCCTGACTCGATCACTTGCCGGAGCCTCGCCCGGAAGCACGCACGTTCGCCGGAGCGAGCAGGGCGCCGCCGCGCTTCTTGCGCTCTGTGTATCGTCTACCTCGCTCCTCTTGGTCGTCGGAGGCTCACGTACCCTCTCTCTCTCTCTCTCTCTCTCTCTGGCAAAAGTCGGAGACGGGAAGGAGGCGGGCACGGCAGGGCGTATAAATCCCACCAACCCAACGCCAGCGGCCTGCCTTGCTTCTTCCCCGACGCAGCGCAGCGCAGGGAAGAGGTCAACCCGCCCGGGGGCCGGGGCAGGGCAAAGGCAAGGCGAGGCGAGCGAACGCAGCGACGCACGCGTTCAGACAAGACAAGGCAGCCGGGTTTGCACTGCGCCACGTTGGTCAAACTAACCGAGCGGCCGAGGAAAGAGAGAGCCGACTGCGCATTTCCACCATCTTTTTTATATCTTATATAACTTACGCATATACAAATCCGAGCTGGAATATTCAAATCCTCGACGAAAGCGGGCCCCGGTTCTGGTAAAGACAAAGAGCAATTTTGAAATTATTCAAACGTTTTATCGGGAAAATTAGAAGGATCCCCACGGGACGACGACCTGCTGGTGGCCTGTAGGCTGTAGCCATCGCCGCCGGTTGCAGTTGCATGATTTGCGCGCTGGCGTTGCCATCGTCGTCTTAATTAGCTGCACATTCTTTTATCCGTGGCTAGCTAGTAGTGGTCTGGGTGCTCGCCCGGCCACCGGCTTAAAAATCCAACGACCAGCCTTTGATTGCGTCTTGATCGGTTCGCGGAGATTAGTTTATACGCCGAGGAAAACATCCGAGGACAGTTGACAATTAAAAGGGGCATGCATATGAGGCTGGTTGTAATGAGAGTATCATAAGCGGTATCATACATGTCAACTAGACTTTTTAGATGCCGTGACACACAAATAATTGAAGAAAAAAAGGATATAGTATCATATCATGATACTGTATCATATTAAATATTTTACTACTTTGTGTCATGCATGACAATTAATAAGACAGTCTAAAATACTAATTTATAATAATATGCATTACAGAAGTAGTATCATATGATACTACTATATGATACTGCCCATTACGACCAGCATGATGCAACAGGGACGAGGGCCAATCGAATCGGGTGGCTGAATGGATCTATCCATCCATTGTCCGTCCGGCAGTCCTCTGGCCGGGTACGGTGTTTATGTTTGTTGTTTAGCCCGTGGATTGGCGATTTTCGAAAATGCTTCACACACGACAGTGTTTGGACGATAACTGCACGATCGAGGGATCCAGCGGCCGCTGCTGGGCTGTGCTCGACATTCTTCGGCTGGATTTAACCGTCGTGCACAAGTCGTCCAAACTTTATCGTCCCCATAGCACTGCTCGGCGATTTTTAATGCGAGCGTCGCGGGGTGGTGGCTGATGGAGATGGCGACGGCGACTTTCTCTATCCAAGCCTCGGTCTCGGATCGATTGGAACAGTTGAGGCCGGGCGCTGCGACTGGATCGAACGTGCGTCTTCTTCTACGTGTGCATGTATGTATGTCTATCATCCATCATCGCAGAGGCAGAGGCCAGAGAGGCGTAGCTATCGTCTGGAACGCGTGTGCGCACGGCCTGGCCTGCAAGTTGCAGCGGACGGACAGTGGACGTGAGCCCCGGTCAGTGGCCTGCTCCTGGTCAGAGAACAACAGCCAGCCCGGCCTGGCCTGCACGCGTGCTCCGCTCCTGTATCCCCTCCACATCCGGCGTCCCCGTCCGCCCGTCGAGGCCGCGCTCCCTCGCAGAGACTTCGACATGGGTCGCCGGCCACCGGAGTGCACTTCCTTCGCCTTCCGCAGCTCCGGCCTCCCGCTTCCATGGCGCCGGCAAAATGGCGGCCGGGAAAGAAGCGGTCCGGGTGGCGCACGGCGTACCACGCACCGGCGCACGTCGGCCATCGTCACCGCAGACGTTTCACGTACGCGAGAACTAATCCTCCATGGTTTACTCTTGACAGTTTCATACTTGTATCGTGCTACATACTAGTAATACTATATCACAGCGTGGACTCTACTGATATAAACCTTTTAAACAACAAACAACATGCTCGACAAATAAAACAGAGTCCCGACCAAGCAAGAAACGTTTTCGATGCGCGCGACTCGGCGGCAACGAATTCATCCCGAATCGCCAGCCGGTGCACATGGTTAAAAGGGAGATTACCTGGTCAACAACGCTGTGATTTCAGACTAAAAATCAAAATGTGCCGTCTCCCAGAGTTCCAGTTCTATATATGCCAAAAAGAAAGGTGATCGGGTTGAGAAGTCTGACGGAGGGTGTGGATATTAGTTTCTGATTCCATCTACAAAACAGGTCAACCTTACATAAAATATGTGTCTGCCCTCAGTACCGCCTCGCCTTGGACTCGCTCCTCGCGAGGATCATCCCGGAGAGCTTGTCGACCTCGTAAAGGATCCCGGCAGAGAACAGGAAGCTGCGGCCAGGTGGAGCAACAAAAAGGAAATCAGATCGTTCATGAGGAGCTGTTGCACTAATGTAATCACCGGAAAAAGGTAAGAACAGCAAAGGCAGCAAAATACAGAAAAGACATATCCAAGTTATTTAAATGGCAGAGCTCTTGATAATATTTTTTTGTAAATGGTGCCCTTCCCTTGCTAGATCCTTCAAGGGGAATAGTCACTAGCATAATTGTGTTGGTGCCAACCAGGCTTCTTTTGCTGGTAGCTTGCTATGTGCCCAACACACAAAACACTTGGAAAATGCTGCCTCATCATGTGACCAGAGTAACATGAGCTAAGGCTGCTAAGTTCTTTATCATGTACCAGAGTAACATAGGCTAAGTCAGCTAAGATCTTCACAATGCACCACAATGATATAAGCTCTATCAGAGCATGTGAGCACCACAATGTCAACACCATGGTGGATGTAGCAAATAATTTCACCCCACATAACAAAAAAATGTGATTATTTTAATATTTTCAGAATAACTTTAGCTCCTCTCCTAGCTAATCATGATTGTTAGGTGACAGAATTTTTCTGACTAGCCGAGGAAATTTTGTGACCCTTCCCTGGACCCTGCGCAAGCGGGAGCTACATGCACCAGGTTGCCCTTTTACAAGTATATGCAACAATAACTCGTTCTAATCTGACAGGCTGTAGAAGGATCACTAATTAGATGGATTTTGCTCAGCTGCTAATCATGCATCCTATAACTACTGTCAACATCAAACAATAGGTAACCTACAGTTGGCAATGCTGTTATAAGGAAGTATTGTCTAATCTACTCCCTCTGTTCCTATAACAAGTCTTTTTAGAGATTTCAATATGGACTACATACGGATGTATATAGACGTAGTTTAGAGTGTAGATTCACTCATTTTGCTCTGTGTGTAGTCCATATTGGAATATCTAAAAAGACTTATATTTAGTAACAGATTTACAGTACCGGCCCATTAAACTTTGGATGTATTGATATTTGTTACCTTATGTTCCCATCTACTATTGCAAACAAGAGCAAATAAAAATTTCATAAGCATAGTTCCATCAGCACATCTAAGATTAGCATTTCTGAACAAGGAATCGTCAAGGTCTATCAGTTCTATCATGGGACCATACAACTATTAACGACTTGAACAAAGAATTGGCAAAGTATGTTAAAGGAAGCATACCATGTTGTGATGCAAACACGGTGGACAGTGCCAGCTACAATAAGAGCAACAAGTTGTGCTACAACAACTGCATGAAAAGAACAGAAATGATGACAGATGGTTCAAGTTAAAAAATGAAAGAAAACATGGGAATGAAATATATACCTGCACCCCACCCAGTTCTAACACCACTAGCTTCTTGGTAATTACCGATAAACTGCAAAACTTGCTCTAGTTAGCACATTAAAAAAAATCCATGCAGCAAAGTAATAATTGTTGTTTGCTGATGAAGGAAATGATCATCATTCTTATTTACAACACAAAACCATACAAGGGTGTCAGTCAGATGTATATAGCATACATGCTTCCTAGTTGCTACCTTTTCCCCCTTGATGAGGATCTGCTTGCACTATTTTCTCGTTATAGAAAACAAAACTGACAAAAGATGACTTATCTATAGTCATCTGTGGAGGTTTTGGGGTTTAGGAAATGCTTCACCATGTTGAAGCCAGAGTGGATTCCAATACAAAAACAAGGCCCCCTTTGGTGTCTTCTGCGGATTTAAAGTGACATGAACCCACAAAACTACCACAATTAAGGCTTGCCATTGGTCATAACTTTTTAGTACTATATACCTAAATATTTTACCACAAAGTCAATTATACTTCAGGAGCTTAATAAATTAGAACAAAAAGCTTATGTCTCCAAGACTGTTGGATTTGAGAAGTCAACTCTTCATGGCTCCATCTGGAGACAAATACATCTGTATCCAGACAAATCTAAGACAAGAATTTTGGGACAGAGGTAATACTAGACAAACACGACCTTAGCTGCCACTTATGATAGCTCACATTGTGGGAAGTAATTGACAACTGAGCCTACATAACAGAGCAATGTGAATTTCGGATCAAGGGATATTTATATCTTAGAAGAGCAATGTGATGGGGCATTTTCTATTTGAGAAGCTACTCTAGTCTGGAAAATTGAAGCTGAAGAGCACACGCAACCTGCAGAAACTAGCTATCAGAAGTTACATGACCGAGATTTCTATCTTCCACCGCTGAATGTTAAGTACTACACACACTGGATACAAGAACAATTACAAACCACATGCCAATTTGCTCCCAGTTCTACACCCTAAACATTTTTTTAGAGAAAACAAAATCACAACCTACGAATGTCAGTGCACTACCAATCAGGTGAGAGGGCTTTGTCCACCACCACGAGTAATAAGAAGCAGAAGGAAGAAGAGAGGGACGACGCACGGTGAGGAGGAGGAGGAAGAGGAGGGAGCTGACGAATCCGCCGGCGATGGTCTTGAGCTCCGACGCGGCGAACCAGCCCCGGTACATCTCCAGCAGCGACAGCGTCACCGCGAACAGCAGCAGCGACAGCAGCATCGACCGCCCCGTGCCCGCCATCTGCGACACCAGATCTCCGACAGCCAACGGGCAGCGAAATCAACACCCAATCCAAGAACCAAAATCGTCCCAGCGCCGCAGGAGAACGGAGATCCTCACCTGGACCGGCGCCTAGGATCGGAGATCTGAGGCGGCAGCGCGGGGGAGCAGTAGGGTTTTGGCGCTGCCGCTTCTTCTTCCCCCAGTCCGTCGCGAGGTGTGTGGTGTGGTGAGATCTACCACGCCGCCGAGTCGTCGTGGAAGAGACAATGTACGGGCCGTATTGGGCCGACGACTCAGAGCCCGATGGACCCCGTTTCGGGCGTATGGGCGGCTCGGTTCGGTTGGAATGTTTTGCTTAACGGGCCGCATATGGGCCGTTGGTTAGGGCCTGATGAAAGCGGACGCGCACCGCCGTCGCCGCTCCGTTCCCCATCCGTCCCCCTGCCCCCGGTCGCACTCGTGCTGCTGCTCCCCGCATCGTCGCCGTCCTCCTCCTCCGCCGCGGCGCCTCGACGCGGAGAGATCCGCGCGCGGGGCCTGGGCCGCCGTCACTTCGTCAGGTCTCCTCCCCGCTCCCTCTCCAGAACCTTCTGCTAGAACCCTCTTCCCTTCCCGTGGGCAGGGCGGCGAGTGGCCGCCGCCGTGCGGGCGCGGGGCTGGGCGGGGCTCGCTTGCTTCTGGATCCCCGCCATTTGGTCTTGCCGTCGTCCGTGGGCTCGCTGTGTGGTGCGGTGGCTTTGGAATTTCAGTAGATTCGATTTTGGCGGTGGCGCTTTTCGTGCCGCTGGTCGGATGCCGGGACCAACCTGGATTGGGGCCTGGGGAATCTGAGCTGCCGATTGCTCCTGTGCTTTTCTACGTAGCTTGATTTTCTTCAGCAATCTGTTGGAGAGTGTGGGTGACTGTATGCTCGCGATTGCTTTGGTTCTCAGCAAGTAGGTTTTCTTAGCTGTTTTTGTGCTATAGCTGTGATTGGGAGCTTTTGAGCTTGATTCAAGCTCGCCCGCATGTCGCATATTAGCTTCGGCAAGCTGGGTATGCATTGCCCTGTTGCCGTGGCCGTAAATTCTCCTAGACGTAACCTTTTGCCGGTCAGAGCATCGTAACCACAGTGTTAACTTTTCTCCCCGAAGTAACTGGAACAAAATTTCTGCTCTCAATGTAATCCAACTGGTGACCAGCATTTTGTCGTCGGTTTTGGTATTAGCCTCTTACAGAAATGTAGGGAAAGGCTGCGTACTATAGACCCAAAGTGGTCGGACCCTTCCCTGGACCCTGCGCAAGCGGGAGCTACATGCACCAGGTTGCCCTTTTTTTTTGGTATTACTGCAACCTTGAACCTAGCAGAGTCACGTTAGCACATGATACAGAACAGGGGTATATAGATTATTTAATTTACCATGTTGTACACAAATGGAAACATGCATTTGTAACCATATAGATAAGAACCTGATATTCGAACTACAACTAGCCTTATACTAAGGATTGTTGTACTTTTGCTGTTGACCTACTCAAAATCGGTGCTTGTGGAAGATGGAACAACATGTTGTTTTGAGATTGCCTATGGCTGGGTACAAATGTGTGATCTGATAGAAAGTTGACATGGCTTTGGTCCCTTAATAGCATTCATAGTTTGGTTAATGTGTCTAATGACGATCAGATGGAAGGATGATGAGTGTTGCAACATGGCATGTTGTGATTGTATATGCAGGGCCCCATCATTGGAAGTGTCCGATCAATGTGGAATTTGGTAGCTCTTTTTTGTTTATCTTGTTTAATACAGTGAAATTTACCACCTCCATGGTTAATATGATTCCTCCAATCACACCTCAGTTCCTTACCAAACCTGGTCAAATACAAGAACCAGACCCTTGATTGAAGTGGCCTGCATTCTGGCCTGTTGAGGTTCCCTGGAGAATTTTCCTTGTTTTGTTCCCAGAAATCTATTATAGGAAGTAGGTCACCAGCTGCAAGCCTGCATCTCATGCTGAACCAAAAGGTGATATTAATTCGAAGTTTTTGGTCGTGGAGTCGCGTCAAGTCTCCCTAGCCCGGATTATTCGGCGACTTGTTATCGCTAATCGCCCCAAGTCGCCGCAACTAGTCAAGCGAGTTTACAGAGAGGATGAGATGATGTTGAGGGCAAAGTTGCAGTTGAGGAGGAGCTTGATTGTGAGGTCAAGGTGGCATGAAGCTCCTAGGCAAGGTCTTTGGGCTCTTGGCTGGGCCACGGAGGAGCCGAGTTGCTTCAGTGTAGGAGGAAGATGGCTCCAAGTTGATAGGGGTAGGAGCATATTTGGCCCATGAAGGCCCATTTGAAAACCCTAGCTTTCTTGATGTATCTAGACCGTCCATACTTATCCAAGCCATCTGTACCATCCATCAAGAATAGAAGAGTGGTAACTGCCCAGCAGCGCGTGACCAGGACTATACATAGCCGCCGCCAGTGCAGATTCCTTCTTTCTTCCCATACCTTCTTCCCTCTTACAAGTTACAACACACCAGCGGCAGGGTAGATCTGTAGCCGGCGGCGGGGTAGATCCATAGCCGGCGGCGTCAAGGAGATAGATTTCTCGCCGAAGACCTCGCCGGCCGTCCAAACCAGCACACACGCGTCTACTAGGGGGTGAGTTGCACGACTTGCTCTGCTAGTTGTGTCACCGTAGCAGGACTTCGTCACTGATCAGCGAGGCGATTAGCCCGTGCCTCATCGATGATTAGTCGGTGACTCAAAACCTTGTATTGATTTAATACCACAACGGTGTTTTCATGTCTAGATTTGTTAGGGGCCCATAAATACGAGGGCCATCTGAGGCAGTGGAACATCATAGTTTGTGCTCTTCCGGAGTGTTTGTCCTAGGCTTTGGTGTGTTGCAAGTTTTAGTCATGGCTTCTTCCATTCAGTACTTTCTTTGTCTAATATTTTTTGTAATTTTATAGAAACTTATGTTTCCTTTTAGATATTAGCTAGTGGCTTGCTTGTAGGTGTAAACTTGGAAATAATTATGGTTTATCTTCGTATCAATCTTCCTTCTGTGCTTGTCCATTTTGGAAATAATCAGAATGCTAGTCGTAATGTTTTAAATACCAAACTGGTTCTGGAAATTGCACACAGCCTCATTTGTTTTCTAGATTGGTTCTCATGTTTTTTCTACCCTCCTTATTGTGTCATCTTGTTAACTGTATTTCGTAAAATTGTGCAGTGTGATAGTTTGTCCTGCATGACTGCAGTTTTTTAGAATGTAGTATATATAGAGCTCTGATATCTTCTAACTAGTTAGTGTTTTGATCTTGAAATTCAACTTTAGGTCATGTGTTGCGTTTAGCTATGTAATTATTTCATTCTGTTTTACTATAAGCATCCTGCACCTCTGGAAGGACCCCCTATATTTATTACTTACACATATTATCTTTTCCTGGACTCCAGATTGGACCGATTATCACTCAGTTGGGGAAATAACGGAATAGTATTTTGACTTCCTGTTGCCTTGATCGTTCTTTGGGCATCATCACAATGTCAGGATCACTGAATGTATGCTTCCATCTTTCCTTACTTAATATGGTTACTCATTTTCTCCCGTTCCTATTCAGTAAATCACCTAACTCCACCTCATTTTGGCTTCCACTTCCATATGTTGCTTGAGCTAATATGTCGACTCATTTAACCTGTCTGTTTTTAGACATGATGTTGTTTTTATGTTATTTATTACTCCCTGCCAAGTTCCTCCGTCTCAAAAAGTGGACAGAATAGCTTTAATCGTGATCAGGGTTCATTGTCCACTTCTGTGTACTGATGACAATGGCTAGCTATGTTTTTCAAAAGGCCTTTGGTTTATTGTCATTACCTTTTGCAGTCAAATATTGGTGGGGATTCAACAGGAAGGCCATTCACATCAACCTTTTCTGGTCAGTCTGGATCATTTCCTAATTTCCATCACTCTGGTTAGTATAAATCTTACATATTTGTGTAATCCAATAATCATGTTCCAAAGTATCTCATAAAGCTAACTTATTTGAACTTCTTGGAAGGCTTGCATAATATCCACGGAAATCTCAATCTTGCATCACTATCGCCAAGGAATGCTTCATTGTCAGGTATTCCATCCCCAGGTGTTCAACAACCTGGGGGCAATATTCCTGGTAGCCGGTTTCCCTCAAATAACCTTCCAGTGTCCATGTCTCAGGTTTGTTCTCCTCTTTTCAAGTCCACAACATGTTAATATCATGCTGAGTGTTCTATCACTTAACTAATTTTCTTGCCCTTTTGTAGATTTCTCATGGCCATTCTGGGATCAGCAACAGAGGAGGTATGAATGTTGGGGGGAATGCTGTATTTAGTAGTAGCATGAATGCTATTGGTGGTTCAGCACAAGGTTTATCCTCAAGCATGGCTAATGTTGGTAATCGAAATTCTGCTCCTGGGTTGACAGCTTCTTCAGTTTTGGGGAACTTAGGCCCACGGATAACAAATTCTGCGGGCAATATAGTGGGTGGCAGCAGTATTGGCAGAAGCATAAGCTCAGCAGGAATGTCCATGCCTGGTATTGCATCCCGTATCAATTCGAGCGGCAACTCTGGAAGTGGGGCTCTTAATATCCCATCCAATCGACTGAGTAGTATGCATCAAGGTACATGGTTAATTGTTAATCTTTATTTGCTCTTTCAAACTTTTCGTGCTTCTTTGGCGAACATCTATTCTCATTTTTTCTTCCTTGCTGGCTGAATAGTGAACTGGTGTGTGTTTCTCTCTTCCTGTAGCTGAGGTTTCAGTAGATTCATCGTGCCCTGCGCTTGTGTGGATAGCTTCTAGGCTGGGGGTTGTTTAGTTGTGTCAGATGTTTTAGTCTTGTCTTAGGCTTGAATTGTTTGCTTTCTATCAATGTGTTGAGCTGCAAGTTTTGCATGTTTTTCAAAAAAGTATAGGGAAGTGGTGTTGTAAGGTACATTTCAGTCATATGACAGGGTAACTCTCTGAAGTGTTATGGATTAAACTTAAATGTGGCTCAATTTGATTGGAAATTGACACGGGGAACTGAGTTTTTTCACCTATTGCATTCATAAAACAGTGCACCGCCTTGAGGTTGTCTGCCTTGGTTGCCCACACTAGATTATATGTATAACAGTCGAAGCAACTAAACTGTATATACAACTACTGGGTTTATTAAGAGCTTGGAATTTCTTCTCTCTTGGTGTAAGGGGGTGTGGGGCAAACTGACCTAATGGATTTTTTATTTTGTAAAAAAAATGAGTCTGTTTATTTTTTTTCTCCAGCGTCACCACAGTTCATGAACATTCTTGGGAGTTCTTATCCAGCACCTGGAGGAACGCTATCTCAGAACCAAGTTCAGGCAGGAAACAATTCTTTTAGTTCTTCAGGAATGCTACATGATGGAAACTCTGGTGACAATTCTCCGTTTGACATAAATGATTTTCCCCAGTTAACTGGGCGTCCTAATTCTGCTGGAGGTGGTCAAGGGCAATATGGTAATGCTACAACACTAACAAAATCTGCAATCTTTAGTGCTTTGATAATGTCAGGTAACTAATTTTTCGTACTTTGTAATTTGAAGGGTCACTGCGAAAACAAGGAGTAAGTGTAAATGCCATTGTGCAACAAAACCAGGAGTTCAGCATTCAGAATGAAGATTTTCCAGCTTTACCAGGATATAAAGGTATGTCTCCTCCATTGGTAGTCTCACTATGCACATAGTGGACAACTCTATAAATCTTGATGAGATTAACTATCTGTTTCTTGTTAGTTTTTAGCCTTTTCCCTTGTAGTAGTATCTTTTATCTTGTTACTGTTATCTGGAAAAGATAATGTTTCATGTCTTGTCGGTTCCTTCACTATTTTCTTCTCTGTTAACCACATATCATGGTTCAATCTTCTTCTCAATTCTTCACCTGGCATAAATTTATCCTTCTCTCGCAAGCTGGGGTAGTTAACTTTCATCAGAGATTTATAATCACGTTATATGTATTGCAATGTGTTCTATCGAAGTTGTTCAGCTAAATTCATATCATGGCAGTTATTCCTATCATGTTCCTTTCTGCTGATTACTTCTGGGCAAACCCCCTGCTTTTATTTTCTGGATATTACCTTATTGTATGTTTCTTTGGAATATAAGGCAATTCGTCAGATTATGGTATGGATTTGCATCACAAGGACCACCTTCATGAGAATGCAAATATTATGCAGGGACAACATTTTCCTGTGAGTTCATGTTGTTCTATCATTTCATCCCAGGTCAGCTATACCTTCTTATTCTTAAATTCTCACATATGATTCTGCAGATGGGTAGATCATCTGGCTTTAATTTGGGAGGTAGCTATCCAGCCCGCCAACAACAGCAGCAGAGCACTACTTCGGTAAGCATACTAGCATTTTTTTCGCACAGCCAGCACATATTTGGGGTTGAACACACCACTCTGAGAAGTTAGGATACACACATTTTAACCCTTTTCATGTGTCTGCTAACCTTTTGACTGTGGATTGTTAACTACTCTGATTGTGTTCATTAGGTTCAAAATGGTCTTGATAATATTGGGCTAAGGCCGATAAATTCTCCAAGTCCGTCTTCTAATTCGGGGTCCTACGAGCAACTCATCCAGCAATACCATCAACCGCAGACTCAGAATTCACTTAGGTCGCAGACGTCTTCGGGCCAACAGTCATCTAAGGATCAGAGTCAAAAGTCTGCTCAGGGAAAAGAAACTGTGCCAGACCCATATAGTTTACTTGGATTGTTGAACTTAATAAAATCAAAAGAGCCTGGACCAACAGCTCTTGCTTTAGGGCTTGATTTAACTACACTAGGGCTGAATTTGAACTCTCCAGATTGTCTTTGGAAGACATTTGGCTCTCCATGGTCAAACGAGCCAGCTAAAGGAGAACCTGATTATCAGATCCCTGCTTGTTATTCTGCTGAGCAACCTCCACCACTGCAGGTAAGCTGCTTCCCATTTGGTTTACAATAGCCTCTTGAACCCTGACATCTCATATATTTTTTCTCCATCTGCAGCCATTCAATTTTCCAAAGTTTCACCCCTTGACACTATTCTACATCTTCTACAGGTATATTGAATAGAATGAACTGTGTGTCTGGTTTTACTAGTCTATGCATTATTTGACTTTGCTCTTTGTGCAGTATGCCGAAGGATGTTGCTCAGTTATATGCCGCGAATGAACTGTAAGCACAAACCTGCACAGTTGTTGGTATCTCAGCAGATTACTATTTTAGTGGACCTTCATTTGCCTGCTGTTCACACGCCCTATGCATTTGTCAACTGTTTTCATGTGTTTGCTCTTTTGTAGTACTCCCTCCGTTTTTATTTACTCCGCATATTTGCTTTGACTGAAGCCACACTATACAAAGTTTGACCAAATTTATACAATAACAAGTTTATAGGGTAGCCAGCTATTGACGGAGTTACAACTAATAAGTTTCTTGAAAAAAAAATACAACTAGAAGTCCTTTATGCCCTTTTTCCTTCACTCGATCCTTAGTTGTACAACCTCCCTCAATTTTTATGACCCCCCTGGATCTATTCTTATTGAGAATAGGCCTCTTCTCACACTATACCAGTTCTTTTTACGTTGTCTAATCTTGACACTACAATCGTGCTTGGACCTATCTTACATATAGCAATATTATTGGTCTACTTATCACCTTTTGACCTTTATTGGTCTATTTATCACCAAAGAGCTAGCTATGGACAGGGGTGCGTCGAAGCTTGCTATCCATGTGCCAGAGCCATGAGTTGGTTGCGAGATCTTATGGGTTTCACCTCTAGCCTACCCCAACTTGTTTGGGACCAAAGGCTTTGTTGTTGTTGAATCGAAATGGCCTGGCTTGTCAATGTCAAATGACTCAAATTTCTGATTCCACCTATTTTCCAGATATAACAAAGGGTGGTTTTACCACAGAGAGTATCGTGTGTGGCTCACACGAGCTTCAAATGTGGCGCCTCTTGTGAAAACACCACTGTATGAACGAGGATCCTACATTTGTTTTGATCCCAGCCTGTGGGATACAATTCAGAAGGTTTCATCTGAACAAGAATTGATAGTCTTTATAGCCTGATCGCACAGCAGGGAAAGTAATCTGAGCATTTTTCGTTGATTGCAGGACAACTTTGTGCTCCAATATGAATCTGTAGAGAAGAGACCTGTCCTCCCTTCCGCCAGCCAAAATGTTAGATTATAAGGTCAGCACTTGGATTTCCCGCCTCACATTCATGTATTTTATGTCCCTAATGCCGCAGTTTCATAGTTCCATGTTCGTAGGCCCGGCTTTTCTGACATGCTACCGATTTGTGCTTGCAGCTGTTGTACTTCTTCTGCACTAGAGAATTGTCGTTTTTCTTCATCCGGATCAGTACCTGTTATTATCATAGGATATAGGTGGCGTACATTTGTGCAAAATGATTCTGTAAGTGCATCTGAAAAATACTCTTATTTGTTTGTCAAGATTGATTAACTTTGTGGCGCTGAATTTCGTTTTTTCTGGGCAGGACTTGTGTGCTGTTCCGAAGAAGGAGCTTCTCTGTGTTGGCTGGCAGCCTTGATGGTAGCTTTAGACATGTAGCCGAGGAAAATGCGCCTCATTAATCCGTTGGCTGTAAACCAGTAGGGTCAATTTGGTATTGTTGGCTGTAATAGACTTGAAATTTTAGCTTCCGTAAAATTCAGACCTGTACTCTTTAACTATGAGTTAATTACCAGTACTTTGGATTTACAATGTGGCCCTCGTTTTTAATAGTCTGGGAATGATGGTCGTGATTTGCTTGTCACTGGTGACTGACAATACTGCTACATGTGAACTCACCAATCTGGTGAAATGTGTGAAGGTTCACAAAGTGCACGTGTACAAATCATCCGTGCACTCCTACCCAGGATTCAGACGTGCAAAGCCCTCACTCTTGGACCCTAACGAGTGCTGGGCCGTGCTGGCCGTACATGATCACCACCTTTGCACCTTGAAAACATCTGGGGCAAGGACCTTGAAGGTGAGGAAGTACCCGATTTTAGCTTGTGAGCTATGGCGAAGTCGGGCCATCCTTCATCCATTGCCACCCTCCTGTTGACATCCCATAGCCTCGTCATCCAAGAGTGTCCGAGTTATTTACGCAAAACCACCACACTTGGGGCTAGGGTAACAAGTCAGTACTAGATTTAAGCCAGGTCACAAAAAACCATCAACTATATGCCTAATGACTAACGAAGAGTACTGATTGTTTAATAAGCTCATGAAAACAGTGAAACTGACAAGTTGGGCCCACCTGCCAGGCTGATGTGGCGTGCTTGTGTGGACAATATGCTGAGTCGGATGAGGGTCCCATTTGTAAATGACTCAAGTGTTTATCTTTTTTCCATTTTCCTTTTTCGCCTAGGCATTTTCCTCCTGGACATTTCAACAAACAGGTAATGTGTGCTGATTGACATTTGCGCACCGCACGCCGCCAACGCCGCTCACCGCCCTTGCTAGCCGACAGTCACCTGAGACCTGGCCGCGCCCGTGCTCGCGGCGCCCGCCAGGAGGCCCTAGTCGCGCTCGTGCTCGCGGCACCCGCCCATTGGCCTTGGTCGCGCCCGTGCTCGCGGCGCCCGCCAGGAGGCCCTAGCCGCGCTCTTGCTCGTGACGCTCGCCCATTGGCCTTGGTCGCGCCCATGCTCGCGTGCACTATGGTGGAGCGCCATGGTCATGCCCGTGCTCACGGTGACCGCCAGAGGCCCTGGTCAGGGGTGCGCCGTGGTGGAGCGTGCTAGTCATGCCCGTGCTCGCGGCGCGGCCCTTGCCGCGTGCGCCGTCGTGGAGCGCCATGGCCATGGCCACACTCGCGGCGGTGCCCATGGTGGCTTCCTAGACCAAAGCGCCCCGACGACCTTTGGACCCGGAGAGGTGCTTGGCATCGAGACGCCTCCCAGCACGCGCAGCCGTGCCTTTGACTCTGACGACGGTGAAGCCCTCCACGTGGCGGCGCGGCCCTAGATGGCTAGCCACAGCGGCTCGGGAGTGGTTTGGGTGGCGGGGCGGACAAGAGCTGGAGGTGCGGCTGGGGTTGGATCCTGCCCGGGGTAGTGGCTTGTGGCCATGGGTTGTAGGTGGCTGGGGCGGTGAATTAGGTGGCTAGGGCGGCGAGGAGGCTCTCTGGTGGTGGGGTGGCTCACCGGGGTAAGGCTCCGGCGGCGGCGATGGATATGGCTGGGTTGGTGGGGAAGAAGGTGCTTGGGGAGAGAGAGAGAGAGAGGCCGACAGGTGGGCCTTTGGCCACCTCAGCAAATTATCCATGTAGGCATGCCACATCGGCCCGACAGGTGGGTCCTACCTGTCGGTTTCGCTGTTTTCGCGGCCAAATCAGCCCGTCAGTGCTCCGCGTTACGTATTAGGCTCAGAACTGGTGGTTTTTTGTGACCTGGCTCAAATCTGGTGCTGACTTGTTATCCTAGCCCTAAGTGTGGTGGTTTTGAGTAAATAACTCAGAGCGACCAGTGTTTTGTCACATCCCAAATTTTCAATTTGGAATGTTATACATTAGATCATCATGCATATCATATTTTCTTGCATTTTTGCCCGATCCTAGAAATTTCACGCAACTCAAGGACCTTTGGAGAGAGTTGGAGATTTCGTTATTTTCATATTTGAGAGTTTTCTCGAATTTGAAAAGAGGATCATTTGATTTATTTATTTCATCTTCAATAATTTTTTCGGTGTCAAAATATATTAGAGAGGGAATAATATGACTTTCCCAAAGTTAGGAAAAATGAAGATTTAATAAATAGATCAAATTTTGTTTTTCGGTGTTTTGTTTGCTTTTTCTTTGGATAGGGAAAAATGCGTGTTTTCAAAAATTGCATTTTAGGTCCGGAGTAAAGTTCATTTTGTTCGACTCATTTTTAGGAGTCGGGGAAAATTTACTTTAGAATTTTTGGAGTTCGTTTAGATTTTCTTTTTTTTGTTTTCTGCGCGCGTAACCGTTTAAAAAAAACCCGCAGGCCAGCCGGGCCAAAGGCCCAGCCAGCCGGCCACCGCCCCAGCCTCCCTGCGCGCCGTGCGCCAGGCAAGGCAGGCGCCAGCCGCCGCCGCCTCGCCTCCAGCCGAGTCCGGCTTGGACTCTGGCCGGTTAGCCCCTCCCATTTCCTTTGTTCCGTTTTCCTTTTTCTTCTAGGACTCTTTTTCCTACTCTATTTCTTGTCCCCTACCTCAAGAAACCCCCTCCCCTCCCCAATATAAATACCCCAACACCCCCTCTAAACCCATCAAATCAAACCCCAAGCCCCAAGCCCCAAGCCCTCCACCGCACCCCACACCCGCGCCGCCACCCTTGTGCCCTAGCGCCGCCGCCGCACCTCGCCCACGCCGCCGCCGGAGCCCCTCGCCGGAGACCTCGCCGGAGGTAGCCCCGCGCCGCATCTCTTCTTTTCCTCGGATCGTTTTCTTCTAATCATTCCGATTCTTTTCTTCTCTTCCGATTCGTTTTCTTTCCGGTTCTTCTCTAAACCGTTCCGGTTTTCTAGATCGGGTTTTGTTTCGATTTTCTTCCGAAACCCTAGATCGGATTCGTTTTTTTCTCGATTTAGTTGCCTTTGGACCGTTTGCCGGACCGTTCGTCTTAACGAACGTGATCACCGGATTCTTCTAGGTTAACGAACGTCCGTTCGTTTAACCGTTCTTCTTTTTCTTTTCGTCGGATTTATTCCGCGATCGTGATCTCAGATCCGATCTTCGTTCTAGTTTATCTTCTCGCTCGTTTATCAGAATCAGGTGATTCAAGCGCCTGGAGTTTCATTTCGAAACCGCCGTTCCGTCTAATCAACTTAAACAAGTTTTTGCCCCGGTAAAATTTGACCTAGTTTCAACTTGCTAGAACCGAGTTGTTTTCTTCCGCCGTTTGTTTTCCATTTCTTTGTTCGGTTCGTTCTTTCTTTGCAACCGGAGTTCTTAAGTTGAACCTTCTGGTTCGTTCTCTTGTTCGAGTTTTACCTGTGCATTAGACGAGTACTCATTGTGTGCTTGTTGTTTGTCTGTGATAGATTACCCGGATTGCGCCGCCTGTTACTTCGAATCCCTAGGTCTCGCGAATCATCAGCAAGGCAAGTAACACTTTGATCATACCTTTTCTACAACCCATGTTTTATTGCATTAGATCAATCCTCTCACATTGCATGATTAGGATCTAATTAAACTGTGGGATGGGAAGTAGATGAGGTAGTACCTATCACCTGTATTATTATGAAACCTTTGGAAGTTACTTCTACGTTTGCTTATTATGCCATGCTATGCTAGTAGACGTGGATTGGGTGAGTGATATCCATGACAGATGTGAGTATTGTTAATTAATGGTTTATCTAAGGTGGCAACTTAAACACACATCTGGGTGGATTGAGGCACCTGATGTCTATCAGGACTTGCCTGTTTTATTTTGGACCGCCACCAAGGCTCAAAGAGATCATAAGATAATTCATGCTAGACACTTCCATGTGCAGCCACATGCTACTATGGGCTCTGGCATAGTTGACTAAGTTGTGCGAACTCTTACGGGGTGGACTAGCAGATGTAGGGGTTGTAGGTGGTATGGTCTACCCCACATGTAAGGTGCTAGCGCTTCTGAAAGACTATGTCTCGGTCATCCGTTTCTCAAACACCATGTAGTGCGAGAAAACAAATGGAGGCGATCGAGTCATGTGGGGAAAAGTGCGCAAACCTCTGCAGAGTGTATAAACTAATCATGATTAGCCGTGTCCCCGGTTATGGACAACTTGAGTATCTAGTACTTGAATTTCATGTGAATCTCAACATGTTACTTCTAATTAATGTTGTTGGGTTTTAATTGTTCACTTAATTGGGATTGAGAATGCTGTCAACCATTCTCAATGTTTCACAACCACCATGATAGTTAAATAAATTTATTCCTTTGCAGTAGGGAAAAACTGGCTTTACGCAAAAACTGTAACCATAGAGCTTTCCACCAGCCATATATGCATATAGTATAGCTGTTTCATTCCATTACTCTATGTGTTACTTTGCCAGCATATTCCATGTGCTGACCCGTTTTCGGGCTGCAACTATCATGTTGCAGACTTTTCAGACGACGAGTAAGGTGCTTTTAGGTCGTGGTTCTATACTCAGTGATGCCGTTGGAGTTGATGGACCCATTTATCTTCCAAGTCTTCCGCTGTTATCGACACTAGATGGCCTTAAGCCAT